CCGCCGTATCTTGAGGCATACAGCACACCTCCAGTATGGCCTATGCCATTCCCATTCGTGCTCAAAAGTTTCAGGGCCAGCGGGCTTCTGGCAAGGCTCTCTGGGGTTCAAGTGGACTCCCGTGAGATCCAGGGCGGGCCACTTGGGCAGTGAACGGGCCGCAAGCCTGCAAACCGCACGAGAAACCTTAACTTTCCTGTCTACTTCATCAAGCTCCGCCTTGGAGCCTGTGGGGTGGGCGAGCAGTCCTTGACGTGCTGCGCGATCGGCAGCATCGTTTCCGAATTTCTCCCAGCGTTGCTGGGCAGTTAAATCAGGACTGTCGGCCACATGCGCTTTTACTTTCCTAACAGCAGACAGGTCACACGATTGGGCCAATAACATGGTGCCCGAATACATTTTCTCATAGGAGAACCTGGCCTCAGGAGGAAGCGCGAAGGTGCTGACCACATTCGCGCAATCCGAAAAACCTTCCGAGGGGCCTCCAAGGTTCTGTGAAACCATGGCGAGGGCCGCAAACTCTCCAGCTTGGGGGGTCTGAGGGAGCGGAGCCCATATAGGCCCACACACCGAGCAGGTCTCCTGAGCATCCTGGGTGACCTGTACATCGCCCCAAGTGGCCCTACTCAGCTCCTTGATAGGGTGTCTGGTGCAGGACCCGCCCATGAAAATATATCCCTTGACCTGGCCAGGATCTACGACGTCCTCTGTTCCTTCGGGCGTGTGAGTGATAATACCGCCTTGCTGTCGTGGGCGTGGTAGTACATCTCCAGGGGTGTTCAAACCGCCCCTTAGAGAAAAGTAGCGTTTCCTTAGCGTCCGATCGATCGATGCCCCTAGCCTGCGTGATCAATTCGTCATCATCGATCAAATCCCTCCTATCATCGTCGACCGCACTGCACTCCCACAGACGGTGGAAGATCGTGTCACGCGCTCCGCAGCCTAAAGGACACTGAGCTGATGGCAGAGCGTACCCCAAGTCGAGCGCACGCTCGTTGGTCCACACTGCTCCGCACACCAGCGACTTGATACAACCCTTCTCGTAATATGTATACCGTGACGAACAAAGCTGCGACGATACCACATCATAACATACTCGACAAGGTACATCGTGAACTCTACCAGCATCCCTTTCTAGCTGTCTCAAAACTCCATCATGCAACATCTGTTTTATGAGCGCTGGGGAACAGGTCGTTAAAAATAGGTCTTCTCCGAAATCGTTGACCAAGACGCAGAAACTCTTCATGTCCCATTGGATCCTGAGGAGGCTGAGGCGGAGCGCTGAAAGGGGACCCGTGACCTTCTTCCAGGCGAGCTCTTCTTTGGGGACCCCGCACGCCGACCCCCAAGCTTCCCTCAAAGCTCCGAACGACAAAGTATTAGGCGAGGATCTAGCTTGGTTCGAGAAGACCTCCTTAGCGTAGCGCACCACTGGCGCCGCTGATCCATACCACGGCGGATCACCGTGCAACAACAACAAAGATGTGAGGGACCTCGTGCCTGCAGACGGCCGTAAGACAGAGCCCACAGCGCGACGAGCAGTCGCCAACTCGTGATCAGACTGGCCGTGCACCTCAGCTCCATAAGACAGGCCTGCTAGAGGTCCACTCGTGAAAAAACTTCGGCAGTGCTTGCCCAGCACCTGCTTGACTCGCTTGCAACGTTTCGTTCTCTTCTTGAAAACGGCTGCTCTCTTCTGCTGCTTCTGTCCTCGTCCCTTTCTCCTCCTGCTCTTCCCTGCCGTATCATCGATGCCCAAGTTCACTGCAGATTCCACATAAGAGGCTCCACCGTACTCGCCTAGAGCTTGCCTGATGGCTTCTCCAGTCTTGTGGGATGAACATTTGCCCGACGCTTTGTCCTGGGCAACTTGTACGCACATCTCTTCAGTGAGCCCAACGTATAGCTGTGCCGCCGTGTGAATAATATCATGTGCTACTTGCTTGGGCTTACCTGTGGACGACATGCCATAATCATCGATCTCTATACATATATATGTCCAAGGACGTGCGGAGCGGGAAAGTGATGCAGTCTACTGTGGGAATTGCGTACGCTCTAATGTAGTGGTCGCCAAAGAACAGCCTGCGATAACTGCTGAAAAGGCAAAGTGAGGGCCATGCACCATGCTGGCCATCGCCAAGAAGCGTGGGCCCTTGTACGCGGCGGTGCTTACACGGTACAGCTGCTTCGGTAACGCTAGCAGCTCGTATCTATCTCCCAGGATGGACAGCACAATGGAGTTCCCAGAGAACCGTGCAGGCCACCGTCTTTTCTTCTTTCTTGGGCGTTCCCTTGAGACTCTTGGACTGCTTATGGGGCCCAGGACGAACAGCTTTTTCAGACCTCACCGCTTGCCTCCAGACCACGTCCGAAGCTCCCGAGAAGGGCCCCGCCGCCAAGTACGGGCGCCAATTGGAAGCCTCCCAAGACGCCGCAATGGGTCTCCGAAGCTTGCCCCAAAAGCGATAAAAACTGCTGAACAACCCAATAGGTCTCCAACCTCCTGCAGGTTTGGCTAAAAGCGGGACCATAATCGTGCGGGCCTGATTCGGCAGGATGGAGGTCGCCTCCACGACAGCATATGAAGACATCAAGGCCAGCAAACCTTGATCAGAGATGCTGCTGAAGTGGCGCATGTGGAAGCCGTCCACGGAGGTCGCGGACGTGAGCTTATACCGATGCGATACTGCCCTCATCTCTGGTGGCGGCACATAATCGAGGGGCTGAATGTACTCAACTTGTTCGGGCAACTCTAGCGTCTTGGAGGCCTGCCAAAGCTTGCCAAACTTCTGGGCCTCAGAGGCCAACAACGATTTGGGGTCCGCCAGCGCAGCCCCTTGGGCCGATAGGGTGGTGGTGGGTTGCCGCGCTTTGGGGAGACGAGTCCACGCATGAGCTCTCCCCGCCCCTTTATCCACCCCGTCGCATAACCAGGCCTTCCAAGACTTCTGAGCCTCCGACTTAGCCTTCAAAGAGTACGCCCCTAAGTCCTCGGAGATCTTATCTAAGATGCTGCAGCCCAAATCTAACTCCCCAAGAACCTCCGAGACCTCGAAGACCTTATCTATGTCCTGAACCTGGATAAAGCCTCTGATGCAGTCATAAATCTCAGAGAACTCTTCCAAGTGTCGGCCTATGCAGGCCGGAGGATCGGCTAGGCAAGCACGTGCGCCACGAAGCTGGCGGAGCACGCGAGAGCGCGCTGGCGTGGGGACTGTCGGTGTCGGTCCTGGCGGAACTTGGCTCTCAAAAAAAGCGTATCGGATTGCGGCAACCATGCCGTCGCCCCAACTTCGGAAGCTGGAGTCGGAGCCCCCGTCGCCGCCGAAACGTCCAGGGCGTGCAGCAGGCTGATAAAAAGACGGAACGTGCTCTCCAACCAGCGCAGCGTGAACAGAGCAGGTTGCCTGACGTCTTTCCTTTTGTCTACTTCTAGCTGACCTCCAAATCAACTTGGGCAACCTGCCCCTCGTACCTAACAGCGGGATGTCGATCTGTCGACTGGCAATCAACTCTTTTTCTGCTGTGTTGGCCCAAATCTTGTAGGCCAAATTCATGTGCCTCTGAATCTTATTACGTGGGGCTCCTTCGCGAGCCAGTGAGAGACCGTGAGTGGCGCAGTCCAGGGCGTCGTCCCAAGACGGGGGCTCAGGGCAAGGACCTATAGGGCGCTGCGCGGGTATCACTGGAGGCTTGGAGAACGTGAGGAACTTAATGTCCGCGAGGGTGGGGTAGAACTTAATTTGGACGGGCGTGTGAGTCTTCAGATCGCTCTCCAAAATCACCCTGGTGGACTGGATACCTTTCGACAGGCCTCCCGAGACCACCATGTAGTCTAACGGCCTGACCGAGCTCGAGGCCGTCGTTGCACAAGTACCCTTCACTTCTGGATACACTATGCAACTGGATAACCTGCTCGCCAAGTCACACTCATGTAGCCCAGCTGGCTCCATGTTGAAATCGCCTCCGATGATGTGAGGCTTGCGGTAGCTCTGTGCCACCGCTCCGATCGTGGCCAAAATCTTGAGGCTCTCAGCGGAGAGCCCCTCGGAATCGCGCAAGTATGTCGAGATGCAAAGTATCGATTCACCCCCTGGAATCTGCACCCAACAACCGACAGCTCTTGCTTTGTATATTTTTTGGCCAGCCTCCAGGTCGTAGCATCCCAGAAACAGCGGACGAAGATCGCCACCCCGCCCGAAGCTCCTGAGCCTACTCCAGCCTCAGCCGCCACGAACCGAGACTTCCAGCCTTGCTTGAGGGCCCAGCTGGAGGCCTCTTCAATTTGGTCGTCGAGGACCAACTTGTGCTCTTGCAGCAAGATAATATGTGCTGCCGAACGTTGCAGCCAGGGTTCAGCCGATCCCCAGGAGGTGACGTTGGCCGCCTCCACAACCAACTCAAAACTTTCCAGTCCAGGGCTGCCTAGACGCAGAAACTCACCCAGGGGCTCGGAGCCTGGCTCGGGGGGCGGAAAACGGCACAGCCGATTTAAAAGCTGGTGCGCCTCTGCAGGGTCTGGCGCACGCCGGCTCTCCGCAGGAGGCGCTTCTGCACTCGCAAAAAGGTGCCCCTCTGGGGGGGCTATCAGATGAGGTAGAAGATGCTGATGCTCAGGCCCAACAGCTGGCCCATCTGGTTGCCGTCCCCCTGCGCGCTCATGCGGATGCCGCTGCAGCCTGCTCTGGTGCAGGGGGAGGTGCCTGGGACGCTGCGCGTCGAGCTCGCTCCCTGACGTTCTCGCCCCCTCCAGCAGCCCCGGCTGTGCTCGTGCACGAAGATCCCGAAGCTGGAGCTCCTGTCCCTGGAGCTGCCGTCGCTGCTGCTCCCTGTGCTGCATCTCCTCCACCTGCAGCTTGATCCTCTTCTTCTGCTGCTTTACGTCGTTTCCTCCCCAACCTTTCCATGTGCTGCGCGTGCTGCTGCTTGATCGTGTCCAACTGGCTGATGATACCGCCGAAGGCTTCCTTGGTGACCCTGGCGATGTGTGCCTTGAACTC